CCCCTCAAAACAATATGAAGTTCAACAGGAAAATTTCAACACCGAAAGGGAAAACTTGAAAAATTAAAAATGTGTCAGGGTATACCACAAATTCTAACCATACAATAGAGCAAAAAGTAATGTGAAGGACCCGGGGAGGAAACAGAGAATCTCGCCTTAAAGACCAAAAAATTATCGACCTCATCCCTTAGGAAAATTTTAAGGATGGATAAAAGAGAACCTTCAAAACTAGGGCGCCAACCCATGATGATTCTCTTTAATGCTTGGCTCTCTAAGCTGGAATACTGCTGTACACTAACTGCCCCCTTCAAGGCTGGAGACATTGCAGACCTGGAGAGTGTACAATGAACTTTCACGGCACACATAAGTGCGATAAGGCACCTAAACTATTGGGAATGGTTGTAGGTCCTTGATCTGTACTCCCTCGAACACAGGCGAGAGAGATACATGATAATATACACTTGGAAGGTCCTGGAGGGATTGGTACAAAACTTGCACACGAAAATCACTCCACACGAAAGCAAAAGACTCGGCAGGAGATGCAACATTCCCTCGATGAAAAGCAGGGGTGCCACGAGTACACTGAGAGACACGCAATAAGTGTCCGGGGCCCAAGACTGTTCAATTGCCTCCCAGCATACATAAGGAGGATTACCAATAGACCCCTGGCTGTCTTCAAGAAGGCACTGGACAGGCACCTAAAATCAGTACCTGACCAACCGGGCTGTGGTTCGTACGTCAGCTTGTGTGCGGCCAGCAGTAACAGCCTGGGCGATCAGACCCTGATCCACTATGAGGTCTGGTCTCAGAACGGGCCACGGAGGCGTTGATCCCCTAAACCCTCTCCAGGTAAACTCCAGGTAAACACAATTTCCTCTTTGCTTTCATGGATAAAGTTCTTTGTCCCATCTATCCTCCAACAGTTGTTTATATCTTACCCTAACTGTCCCCTCCTTTAGTTTATAAATCTTCATCTCTCTCTTCCTTGATGCTTCCATTTCCCTTGTATCCCATCTACCTTTCACTCTCACTGTGGCTACAACTAAAAAGTGATCTGATATATCAGTGGCCCCTCTATAAACATGTACATCCTGAAGTCTATCCAACAGTCTTTTATCTACCAATATGTAGTCCAACAAACTACTCTCATTACGCCCAATATCATATCTTGTATACTTATTTATCTTTTTTCTTAAAATATGTGTTACCTATAACCGAACCCCTTTCTTCATTTACACCTGGCACCCCAAACTTACCTACCACACCCTCTCTAAATGCTTCTCCTACTTTAGCATTTAGGTGTCCTACCACAATTACTCTCTCACTTGGCCCAAAAGTTCCTACACACTCACTCAACATCTCCCAAAAGCTCTCTCTCTCCTCTACACTCCTCTCTTCTCCAGGTGCATACACACTTATTATGACCCACTTTTTACATCCGACCCTTATTTTAATCCACATAATCCTTGAATTTATACATTTATATTCCCTCTTCTCTCTCCATAACTGATCGTTTAACATTATTGCTACCCCTTCCTTAGCTCTAACTCTCTCATATACTCCTGACTTAATTCCATTTATTTCTCCCCACCGAAAGTCTCCTACCTCCTTCGGCTTTGTTATGCTTAGAGCTAGGACATCCAAACTCTTTTCATTCATAACATTAGCAATCATTTCTTTCTTATCATCCACACTACTTCCGCACACATTCAAACATCCCATTTTTTTAGTTTTTCTTTTCCTTGTTTTTAGTAGTTTACACAGAAGGGGTTACTAGCCCATTGCCCCCGACATTTTAGTCGCCTCCTACGACACGAATAGCTTATGGAGGAAGAATTCTGTTCCACCTCCCCATGGAGATTAGAGAAAAAAACAAGAACAAGAACTAGGAAGAAAATAGAAGAAAATCCAGAGGGATTAGTATATATATGCTTGTACATGCATGTGTAGTGTGACCTAAGTGTATGTAGAAGTAGCAAGACATGCCTGCAACCTTGCATGTTTATGAGACAGAAAAAGATACCAGCAATCCTGCCATCATGCAAAACAATTACAGGCTTGTGTTTCACACTCATTTGGTAGGACGGTAGTACCTCCCTGGATGGTTGCTGTCTACCACCCTATTACCTATAATATATATATATATATATATATATATATATATATATATATATATATATATATATATATATATATATATATATATATATATATATATATATTCAGATATATATATATATATATATAAAGTACAGTTTGGAAATCTCACACAGCCATTTCAGTGCTTCGAGACGTAACTGACTGCTTCCCACTTTGTGTTAGATTCTTTATGTTTTAACTCTACACCTCTTGCCAACACCCGAGCATTCACTCCTCTAACAACTCCATCTATATATTGAACAGCCATAGTGATATCACACATCCCTGTCTAAGGCCTACTTTTACTGGGAAATAATCTCCCTCTCGCCTACATACTCTAAACTGAGCTTCACTATCCTCGTAAAGACTCCTCACTGCTTTCAATAACCTACCTCCTATTCCATACATTTGCAACATCTGTCACACTGCCCCCCTATCCACCCTATCACACATCTCTTCCAAATCCATAAATGCCACAAAAACCTCTTTACCCTTATCTAAATACTGTTCACCTATATGTTTCACTGCAAGCACTTGGTCCACACACCCCCTACCCTTCCTAAAGCTTCCTTGTTCATCTGCTATCCTGTCTCCGTCTTACTCTTAATTCTTTCAATAACAACTCTACCACACACTTTACCAGGTATGCTTACTGCTTCCTTAACTCACCTTTTTTTTTAAATATTTCCTTCCCCATTCCACCTTAAATTTTCATTTATATTAAGAACTTATTATCATGGGTCATAACATTAGCACCTCTTTCCCTACCACTCCATAATGCCAAGACATTACAACTTAAAAAATATCTATACTTCGACAAAGCTTCCTTAAAAATTTGGATATTTCCTTGAATGCATTATAAAGAAAAGGTTGACTAATTACACGAACAAAACTCCATCTTGCTTTATTTAAATTTCATATTGTTAAGAAACATCATGCTGTATGTAATTTACTACTCTTAAAGTCATTTACAAAGGAATAAGAAATGAATTGTACTATGTCGTAACAATTATTCAGATACATAACTGGCTTGTTATTTTAATTATATGAATTATGTTGAGATCAGGATTAATTACTTATTTCAAACACATTCAACTGCAACTCTAAAGCAAATAAAATCACAGAAAAGATTCCTCTACAATAAGTAATATTTAAAATCTGAAACTCGATTTGATTGCAAAATATAAGGATGACTGTACCTTTAAAGGCATATAACTAATACATCAGATATATAAAATAATTTATACTAGCTAATGTAGACTCAACAACACAGAAACTAAGACAAATCAGGGCCGATGGAGACGTTGGAAACTCTTCGTAGTAGTAAATAGGTTAGGTTAAGTAAAGTCTGTCAGGAAACAGGACAAGTGGTTCCTGAGGCTGTGGTTTCAGTCATGTAATGAGCCGCCACTGGAGCTTCTGGTCATTTCACCGAGGCCTTCACTGGCTTACTAGTCTACCCCTTTAAAACTGGTATTGCAGTGTATAGTAAACAGTATGTGGATATGAATGCATACGTGTATCCACTCAATCCTTGTTATAACAAGAGGCGATGATTGGTACACGAGTTGCCGATTTCTGCTTGCAATATTCATCCCTGTGTTAAACTTAGTGCTGATATAAAGTATGCAAGGGAAATTCTGTAATTACTAATCGTTCCCACTGACAAACTATAAAAAATTATAGCAGTACCTGCATTATAGTGTAATATTAGCATTAAAAAATCTCTTCTCATCTCTCTCTTTTTCTTCACTCTCTTTCTTTTTCTCTCTATCTCATCGAGTGACACATTCACTCATTTTTCTTGTGAAATCATAACTTAGATCAACCAAAAATGATCGCAAATGGATAAACAAGAGATTGAAACATCTCATTCGTCAAAAGAGAGGTATATATAGGCGTATCAAAAGAGGGGCTGGACAGTTAAGAAATCAATATATTCAATTAAAGAGACATTAAATAATGATTCTTAAGCGAAAATAATAATAATAAAAGTGTGTTTTATATGTGTGTGTACGTGTGTGTGTATGTCGTGCAGAGTAGGTAAAACTTGCGATTTTGGCTTAAATAGCAACGCTCTTCTTGCCGAATAAGGCAAGTGTAAATCTGTGTGTGTGCAATAATTTCACAAAAATCATTCTGAACCTAACGAAAAAATATATTTCATTGTCGTGAAGAATAGGTAAAACTTGCGATTTTGGCATAAATAACAAAGCTCATCTTGCCATATAGGACAAGCGAAAATTTGTGCATGCAATAATTTCCCAAAAATCATTCTGAAGCTAACGAAAAAATATATATTTCATTGTGTTTGTTTATTAAATAATTATAAACATCTCTAAAATATATTTAGCTGGATCAGACTAAATTAAATTTCGCTTGTTATAATAAGGTTAGCTAAGTTTTCTAAGATTATTTTGATACAAAGTTATAAATATTTACAATAACATTAATGAAAAAAATATATCTTTAAACGTATAAGAGAAAACTTTAGAATGGACTTAATTTTAAATGAGTTCTTGCTAATTGACCAGTTTTACCTATTAGGCACGACATATAATATATATATATATATATATATATATATATATATATATATATATATATATATATATATATATATATATATAATATATATATATAACACATCGGCCGTTTCCCACCAAGCCAGGGTGGCCCGAAAAAGAAAAGCTGTCATACATGAATAACATGCGTCACACTACATAAGCTTCTTAAACATATGAAATTACATTACATTCAATAAGATAACAGATAGGAAGGTTATTATATTCCACTTGCGCCTTCATTAAGACATCCGACTCCTTATTTAACTTTTAACCAACTATATTTTTTTTCAATCAATAATATGTCCTTGGAAATATTTAAGTAGGGATTCACCAGATTGATTACAGTTTCCACGCACTCCCTGGATGACTGCTACTTCTTCCTTAAGTTTTACAAGAAGCTCAATTCTCTTCTCGAAGTTATGTCGTTTCTGCATCTTCTCAGACTCAATCATTAGGTCAATGTATTCCTTTGTTGACAATGGATTGGGCTTGAGGGCAATTTCCTCTAATCGTTCTACATGACTCTGGGCTTCCTTTATCATGTCAATAAGGATCTGTGCATGTTGATTTATGTCATTTTCTATGGCTTTGATGGCATCTTCTTTGTCAAGTTTTCCTTTGGAAGCTTTCTCATAGCGGTCCAAAAGTTCCTGCACTGTGCGAGTTTCCTTTATCCAAGTGTGTTCATACCTGAACCCCATGTTCTTATGAATGTCCCAATAACACTTCTCTGGACAAACTCTACAATAGTTATCTGTCATTGCCCAGCAACCAGCTTTGTTAGCATCATCAGGAATATAACATGGATAATGGCAAGTCATGTTACACTTTAGACAATTAGTCACATTTTCCCTGGGATTCAAGTCAATTTTGGTTATCTTGGGAACTTCAACTTCTTCCTGATAATTTGCACTGCCTTTCATATCATCATCAAGACGGGTCAACATATCTCTCTCTTGATTCAAGTTTGAAAGCATTCCCAAGCCTAAATGAATCTGATTCTGTAAACCGATTACCACTAACTGTAGGCGACTTCGTTCCTCAAGCACCTGTTTGGTAAGTGTTAGACTTGCTGGAGAAGTCTTTCCTAACTTTAAAAAGAAATTTGTCATGCTTTTGTAACCCATCTCCCAGAACAACTTACAAATGTATGCTGAATCTTCATCATCTGAATCATCACTACTTCCTCCATCTCCACCAGTGTTACGAGCATAGAGTGCACTGTTGTTGAACTTGTAAAATCCAGAGTAGTGTACTTCAGCTTCTTTAAGTGCATCTAACACAGGAGGAGTCTTTGCATCAGCAAATGTAGCCATAATATAAATATTATCCTTAATATCTTTACCAAACATTGAAGAAAGGCCATCATAGACATACCTCTGAGTCTGAGTCAATCTTGCAGCAGAAGCAGGAGTAACAAAACCAACTCCATCAACCTGATCAATTCCATAATCTTGTTTCAGAAACATTTCTAGCTGTTTCATCATATCACGATCACGCTGAATGCCTCTGGTGTCTCCAAAACCTGGAGTATCAATGAGCACATAATTGTACTCGAAGGGCATTCCTGGTAATTGGTAGAATGCATAAGCTGTGATCAGATCTGTCTGACTCTCTGCCTGGGAGCGCTTAGGGGCATTTTTATCGTCAATAAGAACCAGTCTAAAGTCGTCAGTGAAGTCAATCTGATATATATAGTTCACCATGGCATTGATGAGAGTTGTCTTTCCAGTACCTGTGGCACCCACTAAGAGAATCACCTTTGTTGGCCTATTTGTTTTCTGTCCAAGAGACATCTTCTGCACCTTATCCTTATCATTTTTGTGTTCCACATTCATCTCCAGTTTTCGTATTTCAAGACCCTCTTCATATTCATGCCGTCTGCTGAAAATGTCTTTTGCTCTGGTCTTCAGCAGAGTCTTTTCATAACCAGCTGAGACAGCCAAATTTGTTGGTGCCATTGTCTTCTCAGGTGAACCTTGGAATTCTGCGAAAATGAATAGGAGCCATCAGTAGTGTTGACGTATTCTTCATCACTCTTGTAAAATGCAATGTTCATCAAAAAACTTCAAATACTATTGCTCGCTTTATGCAGTAGATGCGTTCCAAGATACATGGTAGCTGTATTAACGCAATCAGGCCTTCAACACACAATTCTGCATATTAAGAATGCTTAATACTTTCTTGTGAATTTTGTGGATAGCAAATATGGTGAATGTATACCGCACATGTGGCATTACTGACACAAATGGGATATCTCATAATTGTGAATTCGCATAAACCGGAAGCAAGACGGAATTTTTAGACTAAATAAAATTAAATTAACGGCAGTCCTTACTTTCGTACATATGACAAACATAAGGGTTAAAATTACACTGATCAATCTGTTAAGAAGGAAGGTACTTCATGTCACTGTTACACAGCAAAACCCCGGTGGCCTGGCGTGGCCCGGTGGCCTGGTGGCTAAAGCTCCCGCTTCACACACGGGGGGCCCGGGTTCGATTCCCGGCGGGTGGAAACATTTCGACACGTTTCCTTACACTTGTTGTCCTGTTCACCTAGCAGCAAATAGGTACCTGGGTGTTAGTCGACTGGTGTGGGTCGCATCCTGGGGGACAAGATTAAGGACCCCAATGGAAATAAGTTAGACAGTCCTCGATGACGCACTGACTTTCTTGGGTTATCCTGGGTGGCTAACCCTCCGGGGTTAAAAATCCGAACGAAATCTTATCTTATCTCTTAACAGAATCTAGTTTATTTTTTTAAAAAAAATGGGCAACACAGATAAGATAATACATTCTAATCATGTTTTATAATTGCCAAATCTAAGATATTTCTTTTCAGCCAAGATGAACTGAGAACTAAAATTCTGGCTTCCCATCATTTTGCTGGGTTACTGCAAGTCCGCCTGTGGTTAAATATTACATTAGATTTCTGTGCTGTTTGAATCGAGTATCAGGTGTTGTGCTAACCTAACATCAGGGAGTTTAAAAGTTTGTCCAATATAAGATAAGTTACAGCTTTTGCACCCAGCCTACACAGGTTCCGGGGGGAATTCTTGATCAACATGCTTTTAACCGTCCTTGAATTCTTGAAGACTACTTGCATGTTAAATTCTTTTTAACGGCGTTCTGCAGAACATATAAATTCTCATTGAATGGGAGAACTAACGCATTCTTAACCTGACAGGTTATCCTAGGTTCATATCTGTAATAAGTCTTCCTAGCTGTTATCAAAGGGTTTTCTATGAACTCCTTAATTAAGGTATAGCTATTTCATTACAATATGAAAGATTTTCGTAACTTTCATCTAGAAACTCTGGGCTGCAAACTCGAAAAGCTCTCAAAAACATTGTGAGACTCCTTTTTACTCTTGTTTCAGGGTCTGAATAGTAATGGTTGTAGGAATAAACATTAGTGGCCTTCCTATATACTGTAAACTTGAAATCTGTATCTAACCGGTGGATCAAAACATCTAGGAAGAGGAGTTTGTAGTCAACTTCTTTTTCCTTTTTGAATTTGATAGATGGAACAAGTGAGATAAATCTCTGCAAAAACGTATTCAAATCCACAGAGGTCGGCAACAAGCACAGGGTGCCATCCACATACCTGAAGCACCTTGGCTTAGTGAAGCCTGCTAGGGTATGAGAGATGGAGGGAGGATCGAAGCCTGTTGTAACTCACCACTCACCTAGGTGAGTCAACACGGTTAGTCTTCACGGTTAGTCATCATGGTGAATCATCATGGTTAGTAATTATGGTGAGTCATCATGGTTAGTAATTATGGTAAGTCATCATGGTTAGTCATTATGGTGAGTCTGTAACACTCACTGCAAATTTTGTTGGAAGATATTTTTAATTTATATAAATTTAAACACTTTCGTTATATGTTTGTTTATTATGCATAATACAAAGCACGTTAAATGAAATTAAAGAAAAAAATAAATAAATCAGTTACATTTTTTCTATCGCAATTAAAACGTGATTTAAAACGGAAAACGTCAAAACAAATAAAAGATATTTCTTTCATCTTTTTATTATTTACATAGAGTTTCACTCTTTCCCTCTCCACCATTCCTCTAATACTGTACCAGTACCAGGGAGTTTCACTCCTTTCCTCCAAAAGGCATTCCCCTGGGCGAGACGCGGGGTCTCAACAGGCAATCTATAAATTCATGTAGTTCTTTTACATATATACTATTTAATAAATATATATGTAGATACGAAAATTAATTTGCTGTCTTGATATAAATATTTAACATTCTAAACATCATGCTAAGTGAATTTATTTACTTTAGCGTAATATTTTTTTAATCAACTAGGTAACCTAGGTTGGGTTGATAAAAATAATGAGCTTATCACAACAATATGATACTAACCAACAGCATTCTTATCAGCAATCTGTTTTTATATTGCACTGAGATAAAAGGCTTCACTAGTCCCAGGCTTCCTAGCTCCAAGGACAATTTATTTACATGCATAAATATGAAAATATTTTGTGGTCTCTGTAGGCTTTTATTTTGCTAAACAGAATCCAAAAAACCGACCTCCGCATGAATCAGATACATGATCTATGTCAAGTAAGGCAACAGCGGCACTTCTCCGCTCCATGGAATATTACCCCATTCCAAACTACCATTCCTCCATTTCCCCCCAAACTACTTCTTAAATCACAACCAAAACTTCGCCTTGAAGCCAAACATGAGGCCTTAAGCTGTACTGATAACTTAGTCACACAGCACACACTCTCGCAAATTATTTACGTTGATGGTTCTGTTCACCAATCCACTGGTGCAGCTGGTAGTGCTGCTGTTGTCGTACAGAGTGATGGCTCTCTTAAAGAAATTGGAGCACGCATCAATAATTGGGCCTCTACCCTTCAGACAGAACTGTTTGCCATACTCCTTGCACTGAAATGCATCTATGTATCAAAGATTGACAGTTTAATTGTAACTGATTCTCTGTCATCCATAAATGCTCTCAACTCATTAAGCATAAATTGTGGCATGCTTGTGTCAGAAGCCAGACACAGGTATGGTAGGATTGTGGACAGTGGAGTCAGAGTGCACATGCTGTGGATTCCATCTCACATTGGTCTTCAGATGCATGATAGAACTGATAAATTGGCTAAGCTGTATGCTTTCAAAGAGGGAGTAGATTACAATCTTGGCTTGTCAGGTAGTAGTTTGAGAACAATAATACGAAAAGAACTTCAGCTGAATTTTATGGACTTAAGGCTCAGGGAGATTGACACCAGTGAGTCCATCTATCATCATTCTATCATGCAGGAGGAGCCACATGTCTATGGTGCATCCAACAAAATAAGCAGACTCTTGGATGTTACTACTGCCGGGCTCCGGCTGGGTTACAAGTATCTTTGGCAGGTTAAATCACCACCACCAGATGTAGACCAAACGAAATGTAAACTTTGCCAGATGGACTATTGTCACACCCTGCGTCATTATGTACTGGAGTGCGATAAAATTAATGAATTTAGAAACAACTCACTCAGAAGTGTTCAAGAAATGGCTAAGTATTTTATCCACAGTGGTATATTACAGACCATTCTGGAGAAATACCCTGACTTTGCTAGCTGTAAATAAAGCATTACCACATATGGGCATGTGTGTGTGTGTGTGTGTGTGTGTGTGTGTGTGTGTGTGTGTGTGTGTGTGTGTGTGTGTGTGTGTGTGTGTGTGTGTGTTTGTGTGTATGTGTATGAGTGTGTGTGTGTGTGTGTGTGTGTGTGTGTGTGTGTGTGTGTGTGTGTGTGTGTGTGTGTGTGTGTGTGTGTGTGTGTGAGTATGAGTGTGTGTGTGTGTTATGAGTGTGTGTGTGTGTTGTATGAGTGTGTGTGTGTGTGTGTGTATGTATGAGTTTGTGTATGTGTGTGTGTGTGTGTGTGTGTGTGATTATGTGTGTGTGTGTATGAATTTGTATGTGTGTGTGTGTGAGAGAGAGAGACTCAGCAATCAACATTTGCACCAATAACTCACTACAGTTGTGACCGGGTGTGGAAGTGTGAATTGCTCATTACTCTAAAATTTGTTCATGATTGCAGCCATGTATACACGTAAGTAACCATTCTTACAGTATTCATTACCTTTGTAACTTGTGAGTTCATTACCTTTGTAACTTGTGAGTTCATTACCGTGTACCTAGTTCAGCCATCAAAACTTTGGAGCCCGGTCCCTGGACCCATAGTGTACCTCTGTAATCTGTAAATACCTTTGTAACTTGTCATGATTGTGACTAGACCTACCTGGAGTTCATTACCTTTGTAAATTGTGAGTTCATTACCTTTGTAAATTGTGAATTCATTACCTCTGTAACTTGCTCAGCTATCAAAACTTTGAGGCCCAGTCCCTGGACCCATTATGTACCTCTGTAATCTTTTGACTACCGCCCACTGGATGGGTATGGGGTGCATAACAAACATATTAAACTAACTGCTTTACTGATGGTATAGAATACTGACAAATTGATGAATAAGACACATGCAGCACTTGGGTATGTTTACTGCCAGAATACTATTTCACTTTTGCAACAAGGCGTATTCGACCGAAGAAGCTTGTTGCACTGATGAAACGTATCTGCAATAAAGACGTCCAAGTGTTGCACATTGTCTTCTTCATACTTCTTGCTATGCTTGTAGAGTTACCTAAATATCATGGTAACCCCACAAAATGGAATATTTAATTGGGATATACAATAAACATCACCAATAACCGTGGAAATAGCGGCAGCTATTCCTTGAAAGACACTACGTTCACCTAGCAGTAAAATAGGTACCTGGGTGTTAGTCGACTGGTGTGGGTCGCATCCTGGTAATAAAACTGACCTACTATGCCCAAAATACTCAGCATAACAAGTGGCTTTCTATATAGTAGTATGTTATTGATGTCAGCTATGTCTGTATACTTTGTACATGTACTTGTAGAAATGAAAATTATTATTAATTATGATTATCAAATGGTATACAATACCGACAGGTTGGTAGATAAGATACATAGGCAACAATTAGGCAACTTTATTCCGAAACGTTTCAACTACACAGTAGGCTTCTTCAGTCGAGTACAGAAAGTAGGCAGTTGCAGTAGAGATGAGAGGATGATGTAATCAGTCCATCACCCTTGAAGTCGTAGAATTTGAGGTTGTCAGTCCCTCAGCCTGGAGAAGTTCTGTTCCAAAGTCTGGAACAGTTAGTTTAACTTCAAGGGTGATGGACTGATATCATCATCCTCTCATCTCTACTGCTCCTGCCTACTTTCTGTACTCGACTGAAGAAGCCTACTGCGTAGTTGAAACGTTTCGGAATAAAGTTGCCTAAATGTTGCCTATGTGTCTTATCTACCATTTTTAATTATAAAAAGTTGTACAAGAAATACTGTTTATGGTTCTTTGTGCCATTCAATATGAATAATAAAATATGTGGATCCTGACCTCTGGAACACCCTCTACACGGGGAAACTTTCATATTATAACCTCTAGTGATAAAAAAAAAGCCTATAACACTGCATCAGATGTAGTTAATAGCCAATTAACAAACTCGAGAATTCTTCAACAGGTCAATAATTAGGTTTAACATAACTTAATAATTTGATGGTTAATCTTCAATCCTGGTAAGTTAATGGTAAAAAATAAGGCAAGCGGCAATACCTGACAATACAGCAACATCCACTCTCCAAGGCTGTCTGCTGGTAACAGAGGAAACGCTAAGGTGGTCCTGTTACTATATACCCTCGAGGCACTCACCGGTAGATAGATAACAAGAGATACTGGTAGAATGGTGGCTGTTTTCTATCCTGTATCGCTATGTTTCTCATTTTTCCATAAGAGATACTAGATGGACTTTGGTAACCACACCACCCGATAATGGCATCACAACAATAATTACATCTCAACCACGCAAAAATAGTGCAGGGCGGTGATAAACTTCTAACGATATTATATATATATATATATATATATATTATATTATATATATATATATATATATATAATATATATATATATATATATATATATATATATATATATAATATATATATATATATTACATGGAGAGAGTTCCGGGGGCCAACGCCTCTGCTGCCCGGTCTGTGACCAGGCCTCCTGGTGGATCAGAGCCTGATCAACCAGGCTGTTAATGCTGACTGCACCCAATCCAGCCCGGCTGGTCAGGTACCGACTTTAGGTGCTTGTCTAGTGCCTACTTGAAGACAGCCAGGGGTCTGTTGGTAATCCCCCTTATGTATGCTGGGAGGCAGTTGAACAGTCTTGGGCCCCTGACACTCATTGTGTTTTCAGTGATCATAGTAGTTTTGAGATGCATGATCTTAGATTTTTGGTGATCTTGGTGATTAGTGTTGATAGATGACGGTAAACATGATATGGAATTGGTGATCGTGATTTTTGTGTGAATAATTATAAAAATGTGTGTTTTCTGTGATCTTGGTGGTGGGGTCATAAAATCTGGTAAACGTCTTGGATATAGTGTTCTTAGATAATGTAGGGTACAACAGGTTGAAACAAGGTGGGTTGGGTGTGATGTTACCAACCACCAAGTAACACAATGGGAGTGTGACGTCACCGGAGGTGACCTCGCCGGTCCTGTGAGGTGTGACATCGTGTGTTGGTGGTAGTGAGGTGAGTGCGCTTAGATAATGTCAAATATGATTTTTTTTGTGTGAAATGTTTATAAAAATGAGTGTTTTCTGTGATATTAGTGATTTTTGAGGTAAGTGAACATGGGTGATTGTAGTTGGTGGTTGTCTTAGATTATGTGTGTGTACAAGATATGTTTTCAGTTGATGGTGATCATGTACTAAGTGTTTGCGTATTAGGTTTGTGTTCATGCTTTTTTTTTATGCGCCAAATGGGGAGGGAGTTCTTGGTTATAGTGATTTGAGGGGATTTCTATAAAAAGGATGTTAGATGGTGATGTTAAACTTAGTTTCTGGTGATTTTGACTGTGATTTGGTAGTATTCAGTGGTGATTTGGTAGTAATCAATAGTGTTTTTGGAGTATTCGGAGGTGTTTGATGGTGTTTTTTGAAGGTGTTCAAATGATGTGCAGAGTATTTTTTGAAGAAGATCAGTGGTGTTCAGAGTTGGTTCAAAGTTAGTCAGTGTGTTAGATATGGTAATGTCTCATGTCATAAGTGTATGAGTTAGTTTTTTTTGTGCTAATGTTGTAAAGTCTGGAGAATGAGGGAGGAGTTTGGTGGATGAGATGTAATTTCGGTTAATGAAATGTGTAAGTGTGAATGAGAATGTGAATTGGTGGGCGAGTTAGAGAAGACAAAATGTTATGTGATCTTAGTAAAAGTATAGATAGTTTTAGTGATCTTCGTTATGATGATGTTTTAAGAGAATGTGTACAAAAAAAAATGTGTGGTCTTAGTGGTGGAGTTATAGAATTTGGCAAACGTCTTGATTGTGGTGATCTTAGATATTGGAGATATAACAGATATGTGTTTGTGTTAGTTTTGGTAAAATGTCTCATGTCATAAGTGTCTGAGTTAGTTTTTGTGTTAATGTTGTAAAGTCTGGAGACTGAGGGAGTAGTATGGTGGATGTGTTGTAATTTAATGAAATGTGTAAGTGTAGATAAATTAGAGATGATAAATCTTATTTGGGAGTAATCAAAATGAAATTTTGGAAGTGCTTCAGTGTTGTTTGGAAATGTTCGAAGGTGTTTATGTGAGTATTCAAATGATTTATGAGAGTGTTCGAAGTAATCTTGGGGTTGTTCTGTAGTGAGATGATAAAGGTTGTGGATGAGAGATATTGAGAAAAGGTGGTCTCAAATGATGTATGAGAGTGTTTTGAAGGTGTTCAAAGTAAAGTGAGGTGTGTGTGGTGTGTGTGTGTGTGTGTGTGTGTGTGTGTGTGTGTGTGTGTTAGGTGGTCATAAAGTTTTGTGAATATCTTGGTTACAGTGATTTTAGTGGATTTGAGTTAGGTTAGGTTAGGTTAGGTTAGGTTAGGTTAGGTTAAGTTAGGATAAGTTAGGATAAGTTAGGTTAGGTTAGGTAAGGTTAGGTTAGGTTAGATTAGGTTAAGTTAGGTTAGGTTTGGTTAGGATAAGTTAGGTTAGGTTAGGTTAGGATAAGTTAGGTTAGGTTAGGTTAGGTTAGGTTCGGTTAGGTTAGGTTAGGTTAGGTTAGGTTAGGTTAGGTTAGGTTAGGATAGGTTAGGTTAGGTTAGGTTCGGTTAGGTTAGGTTAGGTTAGGTTAGGTTAAGATAGGTTAGGTTAGGTTAGGTTAAGTTAAGTTAGGTTATGCTGGGTTAGGATAGGTTAGGATAGGATAGGATAGGTTCGGTTAAGTTAGGTTAGGTTAAGTTAAGTTAGGTTAGGTTAGGTTAGGTTAGGTTAGGATAGGATAGGTTAGGTTAGGTTAGGTTAGGTTAGGTTAGGTTAGGTTAGGTTCGGTTAGGATAGGATAGGATAGGATATGTTAGGTTGGGTTAGGTTAGGTTAGGTTAGGATAGGATAGGATAGGTTAGGTTATGTTAGGTTAGGTTAGGTTAGGTTAGGTTAGGTTAGGTTCAGTTAGGTTAGGTTAGGTTAGGTTAGGTTAGGTTAGGTTAGGTTAGGTTAGGTTAGGTGTTGTGTGTGTGTGTGTGTGTGTGTGTGTGTGTGTGTGTGTGTGTGTGTGTGTGTTTGTTAGGTGGTCATAGAGTTTTGTGAATATCTTGGTTGCAGTGATTTTTAGTGGATTTGAGATGGGTGATGAGATGCATTTGTGGATGTGAAATGTGATTTTTGTGTGTGTTCAGAAGAGGTGTGTTGGGAGATGGGTGAGTGGATGTGAAGGAATGCGGGTGAGATGGAGAGGGGTATGGGGAGGGTTGTATTAGAAATTTAATGAAATATGGGGAGATTTTACTGAAAATAAAAGGTAATGTGTGAATATTTTAAAAAGAAATTATAGAATTGAAAAGTTATGATAAATTGGAAAAGAATGGAGGGTGTTGAAACATGTCGCAATAGATGGGTAGTGAGATTAGTTGATGCGAGTATAATATCAATTTATGTGGATACAAGGATATGGGTATGGAGAGGATATTATTAGAATTTTAGTAATGTAAAGAGGAATGTGTATTAAATTAAGATTCAGTAAAAAGAAGGGGAAAAACGTGAATAAATTGGTAATTGATGAGGGTTGTGGGTAATGTAGTCGAACTAGAGATACCAAAAAAAAAGATGATATAAGTGGGTTGTTTTTGTGACTTTTTCTGATGAAATTAGTTAAAACGAGAAAAAATTGTGGATTGTGGGTGTTGTGGGGTGTGGGTGATGTGGGTTGTGGGTGATGTGGGATGTGGGTGTTGTGGGTGTTGTTGTTGTCGAACTAGAGATACCGAAAAAGATGTTATAAGTGGGTTGTTGTTGTGACTTTTTCTGATTATTATTATAATCAAAGGGAAGCACTAAACCCGTAGGATTATACAGCGCCTGGGGGGGGGATGTGGAAGGCATTCAGGCTTAATTCGGGGAACTAGAGCACAGATCCAATTCCCTAAATCAAGAGCCCCTCACCAACATCAAGGAACCTTCCCTGAGGGGACTTTTTCTGATGAAATTAGTTAAAACGAGAAAAAAAATTGTGGGGTGTGGGTGTTGTGGGTGTTGTGGAATGTGGGTGTTGTTGTCGAACTAGAGTTGTTGAAAAGTGATTATAAGTTGTGGGTTGTTGTTGTTGTGACTTTGTGATGAAATTAGTTAAAACGAGAAAAAATTGTGGGTTGTTGATGATGTGGGTTGTGGGTGATGTGGGATGTAGGTTGTGGGTGTTGTGGGATGTGGGTGTTGATCTTAGTTTATGGTGATTTTGGTGGTGTTTTGAGTGTATTCAGTGGTGTTTTAGTAGTATTCAGTGGTGTATTTGGGAGTACTCAAATGGTGTTTTGAGGTTATTCAAAAATGTGTGATTATAAGTTGTGGGTTGTTGTTGTTGTTGTGACTTTCTGCTGAAATTAGTTAAAAACGAGAAAAAAATTGTGGGGGTGGGTGATGTGGGTTGTGTGTGTTGTGGGGTGTGGGTGATGTGGGTTGTGGGTGTTGTGGGGTGTGGGTGTTGTGGGTGTTGTGGGTTGTGGGTGTTGTTGTCGAACTAGAGATACCGAAAAAGATGTTATAAGTGGGTTGTTGTTGTGACTTTCTGATGAAATTAGTTAAAACGAGAAAAAATTGTGGGGTGTGGGTGATGTGGGTGATGTGGGTTGTGGGTGTTGTTGTTGTCGAACTAGAGATGCTGAAAAGTGGTTATAAGTTGTGGGTTGTTGTGACATTCTGATGAAATTAGATAAAACGAGAAAAAAATTGTGGGATGTGGGTGATGTGGGTTGTGGGTGATTTTGGTGGTGTTTTGAGTGTATTCAGTGGTGTTTTAGTAGTATTCAGTGGTGTATTTGGGAGTACTCAAATGGTGTTTTGAGGTTATTCAAAGGTGTTTTTTGAAGGTGTTCAAATGATGTGCAAGAGTACTTATGAAGGTGTTCTGGGAGTATTCAGAGGTGATTTTGGGGGTGTTCGAATGATGTTTTTGGAGTATTTAAAGGTAATTGATGGTGTTTTTTGGTGATGTTCAAAGTAAAGTGTTTGAGTTAGTTTTTGTGATAATGTTGTGAAGTCTGGAGACTGAGGGAGGAGTTTGGGGGGATGAGTTGTAATTTAATGAAATGTGTAAGTGCAGATAAATTAGAGCTGTCAAATCTTATTTGGGAGTATTCAAAATGATA